TACCATATACCGGTGAAGGGCTTCAAATTTAGACCTTTACTCGGCACTAAGGGTCATTGAGCAAGGAGGGTTCTTTATCGTGCCAACGCCTACCGTGACAAGGGGCCTCGGTTTCTAAGGTCTCATCCGAAGGACCCGCAACTTTCACTTCAAAGTGCCGAGCGCTTGGCGAAGGAACAGTTGCTACCTATTATTTATCGACTTAAGTCAGTCGCGGTCGTGATTTGAGCACATGCATGACCTTCCGATCACGGAGCGAGCGCACTACCGACTGAGCTTCCGTGACTGTCAGAAGGTTTTATGTACTAGTAATTTGTATCCATTTTCAAGTAAATTCAAAATTTACAAGCTGATAATAGGAAAAGAAAAAAGATCAGACTTCGAACCCGGGCACATGAACTCTAGTTTATGTTGTATCAACTAGCTACATGTACATGTATTTGACCAGCGAGAACGATGTCAACCTGCTTGTCCGCCACGCATGGATCCATCGGAAGAAAACAACGTGTATAATAAATGTATTTTAATACATTATTTCATACAACAGAGGTAACGTTGGAATTTTAAGAGAAAAAAATCGTGTAAGATTGTACGTATTACATGCATACTCATGATTATCAAATACTGTTTTCTACAGTAATAATTGCAAATAGATATAAGAAGTAAAAGTTGATTTTAAAACCGTGTTTCCCCTTGGTTGGCGTTTACTGATAACCCCCTTTCCGGAAATCTCGGTGCTGAACGTTCTTCTTTTGGACTTTCTATCTTAGTTCCATGTCTATTAAGATCAGGGTCTGCATTTTCTCCGTTCACCAGCAATATCGGTATAGAAGTGCTCTCTTCTTCTCTTTTAATAAGGTCATTCTCACAACGAGGCGTTTTGATAACACTGTTTTCAATTCCCTTATCAATGAAAGATTCTAAAGTTTTTTTGTTACCCTTCTCCAGCAGAGGCGACTCTTTCGAATCTGGGTGAACTGAAGCTTTTGAAATCGGTGCCGTAATTAAATCAAAATCCCCAGCTTTGAAATGTACAGTTTTTCTCTTATGTGGTTTAACTCTCCCTTGTCTTAATTTCGTTAACATTAGATGTTTGATTTTACAAAACAGCACAGTTAGAAGTAATAAAGAAATAACGCCACCAAACGCAGACAAGCCAATTGTTATTCGTAATGAAAAGGTTGTCCGGAACATTTTTGCTGTCTCTAGTTCCATTTGGCGGGAAAGTGTGCCATTTTCCCCATAACCAATGCACAAATAAGTTCCTGCGAAATCAGCTTGCATGTTAATTATCTCCATAACGCTAGCGTTCATTGAGATATAACCTCTGAAACCTGGCCGTGAATTTTGTACAGTACTGTAGGTGTTAACAGACATTGGAATAATCCAGTGTGTGTTGATTACTTTTGAATTCTCCTCTGCCTGGCAGAAATATTTTTTGGACTCACCTATTGGAAGAAAATCATGTCGAGGTGGTGCTAACGTAAACACAACGTCTTCTTCAGATGCTGTAGAGATATCTGACGTCATTACAATTTCGTCCTCAAACGTCATGTTTGTTGAGTTACTTGTTTGGTTGTACTCAATATCTATAACACTTTGATCCATCCTTATTTTAGTTATATTGAAATTAGATGGAGGACTAGTCTCTACAGCTGAGTTTTCTTCGACTGAACCAGTGTTAGTTTGACTTGCAATGGAGTAGTACATCGAACCTTCAAAAGAATTGTCATAATCCTGGTTTTTGAATTTCAGCACATCAATGTCTGAAAAGACTCCACATATTAATGAACATATTAAACAAACCAAAATCACTGCGGACAAAAAATGAGACATTTTCCGGTATGAAGTGCAATCAACGACACAAGCAGTACAAGAACAATGGTCACAAGCATCTATTAATTTCACTTTGCTTACTGACCATATGAATAAGGTCTATAGAGAGGGAAAAAGTGGCTAATGATTAATTAGTGAAATAAACACGCAACCTTCATCCAAATCTCGTTAAATCTCGCGTTATTATTGGACATTGAGAGAGACCACATTGTAGCTTTTAATTAAATTACATGCATTATCGAGGCATGCAATTAGTAGAAAGGTCTGTATAGCTAAAGGACTGATCATAGTGATGACTTATTATTATTGTAAATAAGGGCATCAGTTAAAACAAGAGAACAAACAGTCTGTCCTGACAAAAACACTGATCATCTATGTTCATTTGTAACCCTGCCTTGCTTTGTGTTATAAGTCTTGAATGCAGTTTTCCTTGTTTCAGAGTAAAGTGCGTGATTTTTAGTGACATAATATGGTGACTCCGTCGATCAATTTACAACTTTTAGGTGTTATGATTTATATATTAGATATTATTAGATATTATCATGACTGATGATGGATGACCTACATGTATAACATACATGTACCTTTAAATCATATATTTATATATATACAAATTAGGGATTCTCTAAATACTGCACCCTGAAAAGTTCTAAATCCACGGTAGTTCTGTGAAGTTAGAGTGATATCAGTCCATAAATGTAGGATAGAACAAATTGAGATCTACTGTCAATAACACAATTTCTAGTAGATTAAAGTATTTTAACACTATATTACACCAAGATACAGTAGATATGATAAATATTTGCATGCATTTTCCTAATGTGAATATACAATTATGAGTCCTAAGAGCTGCGTGTTGCATTGTAGAGTGCAGTTTGGGCATGTATTTTCCAAAGGAATGTTCACAGTCTTAGATCGAATAGAGGAACTGATCACCAAGTCAGAAGCTTTCTAGCACGATGATCTACGATCAGTCATTAATTACCCATTGTCTGCTTTTATAGAGAAGACGCCATGGAATATGAAGATAACGAACAGTAACCCAGCTAAAAACTTTATAATAAACAAAATAAATTGGGAGCGGATCGAGCGCACATGGATCCCCGAATTAAAACACACAAGGGGGGGGGGGGGGTCAATAGAAGTGTAAGCATCCCCTGTCGACCTGTCACATCTTTGTCTGTTCTGGTAAACGGAGTAACCCGTTAAACAAATCTCGAACAATTTATATGAAAAATGTCTGTCAACATATTCAATCTCAGATCAAGTAGTATTTGCAAACAAGGTTATTGTAATAATACGTACACTGTACATGTGTTTCTATGTAAAACTTTGATCCCTTATTGTGGTCCTCCCTGCCCCCGGGGGCCATGATTTGAACAAACTTGAATATACATCATATCAAGATGCCTTCTTATAAGTTTCATTTTTTCTGGTCCAGTGGTTCTTGAGAAGAATATATATTTAAAACAATTTTATTCCTATATGTTTCCCCGTAAAACAATGATTCTTATTATGGGCCCACTAAAAGACTTGAATCTAAACTAGGTCAGGAAGCTGACAAATAAGATTCATCTTTTCTAATCTACATGTAGTACATGTAGAAGATTTTAAATGAGCCCACCAAAATTTCACTATAATTTCTTAATTGTCTCCCCTTGAAAGAGGAAGTGGTTCTTCATTTGAAATACTTTAATTCCCTTAAAGTTGTAAACTCACGGATGCTTCTTGCAAATTTGGTTGAAATTGGTCCAGCGTCAGGAGTAGAAGTCGAAAATGCAAAAAGTTTACAGACAACAGACACCACACGACAGACGGACACAGGACAGCCTTCGCCGGATCAGAAACTTGGACTTTGGCTCAGGTTAGCTAATAATCTCTTTAAAAAATCAATGTTTCCTAAATGCTAATTGTCGATACAATAATGACCTTGATTGCTATAATGCAATCTGTCGTTACCTAGATCGGAATGTTGACTAAGTCTTTAAAAAAAATTGTTAGACCATTATTCTCATACTGAATTGTCTACGGATTATACATGTATCATGAAAAGGCGCACACGGCCGGTGTGACCGCGGTCGGCAGACGATGTTTACATTGTACTCCTCCATGGTACCTGATCCAACCTTCTCACAATTTGCATTTTATTTGTTCATTGGTTCTTCAGCGTGATTACTGTTTGATCGTTATCTTCACATTTCATACAGATTTGCATCAGGATCAATCCTATCTGATGTCTTTAAATTTGAATTTAAAGGGGGAGGGTAAATTTTAGCTTACAAAATTTCCAAAATAAAAGTAACTGAATTTCGTAAAAATATTTCAAGCTGTAGAAAATTGAATTCCTAGGGTCCCTGGATAAAACGTATAAAAAAATTATCACAGATAAGAAATAAAAAAAAATTCAGATCCTCCCCCCCCCCCCCATAAAAAAACACTGTGGATGGGGGGACCTGTCCTGTACATGTACATGGCTTGTTTTCAAAAAGTAAATCTATTTTATTTAGTACTACACAAAATACCTCATTATTTGCAATTATAGCGAGCGCAGCGAGCGGCGCGAAGCGCCGCTCGTCACTGCGAGCTCTAACGACAACGCCTGGGCGAAGAGAAAATTCGGACTTCTGCACATTCATTCAATAGAATTTTTTTCCGCAGTAATTCTGACCCACAATGCATCGCTTCTTGTTCTCGCTGCTAACTTCATTCACGCGGTAACAACAACTAAAATTTCACAAAAAATAAACTCACCTTAATTTAATGGATATTGCATGCAGATAGTAGATTAAACGTTCTTTGTTAAAATATGTGCACTTTTTAAACTTTGTTTATGGAAATGCAGCTAACATACGTCATGTGACGTCACAGTATAGACGTTCCAAATGTCTCGTGCGGTTTGAAGAGGCGGATCTTAAAATGAAGTGAACAATGCGCTCGCCCCAACGGTCGCACCGTCAACATATTAATCTTTCTAACCAATCAGGAAGTATATTCATTAATAGAGTAGGCAAATATTAGTAATAGAACCATAGAATCCATCATCCGAATTTCATGGGAACGAATTCAGTTGGTGCCCAAAATTTCGAAATCTCGCGAGAACCTGTTGCTACTTTGGAATGTTTAAATATGGCGAACATTATCGCGTAAAATTAAAAACTTTTGTCGATTTAGGAGATTACAGTCCTGTGCATTAAAGTGCGAGGCCTTAAGATGGATCCTTCATACACAGAAGCTGTTGCAGCGTCTCTTGTTCGAGAATTTTTAAGCAGAAAGGTAACGCATTGTGAAGACATTTCGAGATAATTCGGTCAATTGTTTACATTGGCATTTAACACTTTATTTATTTCTTTAGTTTATTTTCTTATTGAAAGTAAATCGTATAGTATAATATGTTATCTTAGGCTGTACTTCCCATTTACTTATTACTTGTGCACTCAATATTGACAGGAGAAAGTTTTACGGTTGTTACATTAACCAGAATTTCCTCTGTTTAATGGTTGACATCCATGACAGGCACAATGTTATGTTAAAAACAAATTGAACGCCTTTTAAAAGTAGTATATTTTGTCAAAGATCGAAACTGTTTAAAAGACACCCCCCCCCCTCCGAAAAAAAGGGAAAAAAATGAGAGTGTGGCTAGAGAAGAGGCATATCGAAGGATATCATTTTTCACAACTGAAATCACAACATACCCTGAGAATGTTGTGATTTCAATAGTTTGGTTGCAAAAAATAGAATGACTTAAGGCACAGAGATTGAGTAAATATTTTTTATGTAAGTTATTTGTTTAAAATATTATAAAAAATGGAAGGAAATTAAAGCTTAAACTTTTGCAATACTGAAGAATTTAATTCTTATTTTTTATGGTCTTTGTCATAACAATTGGACAACTATACTGACACACTGAAAAATGCATTATAAGAAAATATGTCTCCAAAGCCGTCTGTGTTATGATAAGAAGATGCATCAGCAAAATTTGCAATTCAATACCTGTTATGTTTAAATTAATAAATTAAAAGGTAAATTGAAAAAGCTACATGTACAATGTAATAGCAAATTTGAATAAATGATACCTGTTTGAACACAATACACAATATTTGTAGAGCTTAATTGAGAGAGCAATTTAACTTTTCCTGTTCAAGTTTAGATTGAGATCTGATTCCATTGTGAAGTTGCACTTCCAGAGCATTCAGTTTTTGTGCATGATTTCAAAACAACAATAATTTCTTAATATAATCTTGACCTACCTGTTAGTGTTCTTGTATGCTGAAGAATTCAACACACTTTATAAGAAATGATAGATATTACATGATTAGATAAATTAAATGTAAATATAATGCAGCAATATATGAATCCGTAACAAGCTACATTTAGTTCCATCTTTCATTATACAGATTTAGTCTAATGTGTAAAGTCCACTTGAATTCCTGGATTTCCAGGATTTCCATCTTTTAAAATATCATACTAATGCTTAAGCAGGAATGTTTGAGAGGATTTGAAAGGTATAGAATATACAGAGGGTCACTTATCAATATTTTTCATTGGTGACATGCTGTAAATATATTTATTACTTGTTAATTTTATCTTAATCTATAGGGTCTGAAGTGTACACTACAAATGCTGGACCAAGAAATGCCAAGGGGAAATAATTCCATAAGTAACAGACAACTGCTGATGAAAGAACTTCATATTGAGAAGCTGATGAAGAAAAACAAGGTTGTTTATTAGCCAGCCTTTTTTGTTCAATGTCCTTGTTCAATTTATAATTTAAAAAAAATTCTCATGCAATCAAATTTCGATATCTCAAAACTCGATGTTGCTAGGGAAAAAATACATTGAACAGGATATCTGAGGATTCAAGATATTGAGGTTTAAATACAGTTGAACTTCCCAATCTCAAACATGGATATCTCAAATACCATGGATATTTCAAAGTGATTTTGAAGTCCTGAGAGCTTATTTCTTAAGTATTTTACCTCCAATATCTCAAATCCTCTGATATCTTGAAGTATTTTCTTGGTCCCATTGAGTTTTAGATAACAAGGTTTGACTGCACATAAGGAAGAAGTGCTTGGGACATAAGTGGTAATAAAATATCAGTGTTCGAAATGTGATATTGCTAACTTCAACTGTATAAATTCAAAACTCAGGACTTCCATGTTTATTGTAAACTCAATATATTTTTTCACAGGAAATGTTGGAGCCTTTAAGAACAATGTTAGAAATAATAACCCAATACTTTCTGGAGATGACAAAACCAAGTGACGTGCCAATGATGTCATCATCACAGGACTCACGACCAGTGTCTTCCTCTCAGTCATCACGGAACAGTGATCCTAACGACTTAATTAGTCCTGCTGCTGATAGACCTACTTCCTCTGGATACAGCTCTGCAAAGTCGAAGTCAAGTAAGTAATACTGGCTGTCCATCTAACTTATGATGTATAAACACACATCACTTCAAGCTCAGTGGGATTGGTGAAAACTAAGATATATGAGTCTTTGAGATATTGAAATTGAGATAGCTACATGTAGTTGTTCATGATAGAGGCTCTCTTCAACATATCCTTGGTATTTGACTTGTTGTTTGAGATACCAAAGTTCAACTATATTTAGTAAACACAAAAGAACTGTTAAATTTGTGAGAATGGTTAAAAATCAGAGTCAGAATTTTTTGTTAATTGTAAAAGATTCTAATTGAGCACACAGCTAAGGATAAAATGGAAAATACAATTTCTCTTACATCTAGTAAGAATTTGAAAATAATTGTACTCTAGCTGTGCCATGATAAATTTGAAGTCATAATTTATGAGTGTTAAAACAGAACTGATTTCTAACAGTGCAATAAATGGAAATGAATCATGCACTACTTTTTTTCAAATTCAGATTCATTTTTCATTTTTTATAAAGAATTTTTTGAATGTACAAATGTAGGTGTTCGTAATGGGAGCCAGGACCTGATTATTGATGATGATGTTGAGGGGGAGACAGTTCTAGGGGCAGGGAAGGCAGGGCTGATGGACAAAGAGGACACCAATGATTATCTGCCTACCCCACAGAGGCTCCAGGCCAGACCTGTTAGTGCCAAGAGAAAGGGGCTATCTGGACCAATCACCAGCAACTTAGAGGTCAGTTAGACAGATCAGACAACAGTGATATTACTTAATAATATTGTGACTATTTAACACTTGATTTGGATGCAGAAGGAGACATTTGATAACATATATTTATTTTATCATGAAATTCACAAAAATTTAAAAGATTTAGACATTTTAGCTGTAGAATTTTAAATTATATATATCCAAATTGTTTTTTATACATCCAAAAGATCATTTTATTGACTTATTGTGATATTTTGAATAACTTTGGAGTAATTTTTTTTCAGGATGTTGTCAATAGATAGAAATGTTCATGATCCTCTCTAAAACAGCATGTAATTTTTTTCATTAACAGGACTCAGGAAGGAACAGGAAACTAAACAAACCTCGACCTTTGACCTCAGGGTCTCGCAAAATTCTCCTGGACCCCACAGAAACGACCTCTGAACCCAGGCGGACCTCACTAAATGAGGACAGACTTTCTGGTCTTGGTGTGAGTCAGGGAACAGGAAGTGGGATTGGGCGTGACAGGAAGTCTTCCATACAGGATGTGTTGGACGTCAAGGAAACAAAATCAACAAAACAGAAATCTGCGTCCGGGAGACGTCAGCTGTCAGTGGAGGAAGATTTACCTGGTGATTACAGTGTAGATAAATCCAGTATCGGCAACAGACCCCCAACAAGGGGGAGTCAACGGTTAGAAAAGTGAGTAAAATCATGATAATCAGAGTTTATATGTTATTTCCACAGACTTGTGTTACAAAGTGTCTTTTAAAGAAGATTTAGGCCATTAAACATGTTTAAAAGGGAGAGAGTACATAAAGAGAAACTATAGTGTAGGATAGTTAAATTTTTTATGGGACTGGAGATAAATACAGGAACATCTTATTAAAAAACAGAATAAATTAATAACTTTAATTTCATGTTCATGCACTTGAACATCCTTTCAATCAAGCTCTTATCCAAAAAGAGAGAGAAAGAAAAAAGATTTCAACTATGCTCAGGTCGGACCGTCCTCTGAAAATCTTTCTGAAAGTTCATGGATAACAAACTAAACATTACCATATTACCACATTTAATAGAGCTAGCCATAGAGATTGAATGTTCTTGATCTTTCTTTGATCATGTTTTTTCGTCTATTTTAGATTGAGGTCTAGACTTACATGTATATTTGACAGGTCGAATAGAGGTCACATGCAGTTCTTTTTTCTGACTGGGACATTGTTTTACTTTAAGTAATCTTATTTTACATTTAAAATTTATATGATTGTGAATTTATTTAATTTTCTCTCACCAGATCATCTTCCAGCAATTCTCTGTCATCAAAAGCCTCTACAAAAGTCGGGGATGTAGAATTTGGTGATTGTGATGACCTTGACTCAGATCTAGCTGACCTTGACCTTGGTCCAAAGCTCTCTGTAGGTCGCACAGTTCAGAACTTGATAGATGCTCGTCCCATCACACTACAGACAGCAATAGTAAGTAAATATGTATACCTTCAGTATCCTTGTGTCCATCATCATTTAACATGAATATTCATCAAGTAGTTCTTTTACATGTACATGTAGTTCAAAATTTGCATGTGTGATGCGCCTACAGACCTATGTATATATTAATTATATAGAATGAAACATCCTTTGAACAAAATTGGTTTTGATTTGCTCTTAGCTTTCAAGTGGTTGAGATTTTCTTTTATGTCTATATACTAAAGCTGTGTATGTTTTGAAGATATTGGGTTACAATATCTTCATATGTGACATGTAAACTTTATCGAGGATGCATTGATGTATGCTACAAAGTTGTCTACTATCGACCATAAAATAATTTCATTTTGAATTCTAATTGCATCACCATTAAATATACCTTAAAAGTTTTGGAACCTTCATAGCAATTAAAAGATTTATTTATTTTTTAGAATTTGTAACAATTTTTTGATTTGAAGTTTGATTGTGATACAGTAACTGTTGTGTCTTTTTTTCAGAACCTAAAGTCATTGATATTTGGATCAGCAAATCAGTGTTTTAATGATGAGTGGAAATATCAAGGCCTCGTGTTCTGTGACCTTCCAAAGCTTCAGTATGGAATTGTTCAAAGAAAGGTCAGACTCAGATATTAGATAAGGATTCTACAGTGCTATGTGTATTTATAATAATAAATATTTTAATCAAATGAATTAATAGTGATCATCCAGAGATGTCTAAAAAAAAGAACAAAATATGGAAAAGCACATTTTTTTCCCATTATAACGTCCTCTAAATGCACGTCATTACCATGATTCTACTGGATTTTAAAATACTGTTACTACATTAAGTTTAAATCATTTTCCTTAAGGCTTTTCTTATCTGTGAAAATGTTACAATGTAGGGAAAGAAATTGTTTATTACTAAATTGAGTATTAATTAATCCTCAAGTGATTTTAGACCTCATAAGATCTTTTAAGATTGTGACTACGAATTGGGGCTGCTAAAAATTAGATTGATTTTACAACTTCACAAAAGCTCTGAGGAAGCAAAAAGTACATGTATTACACCCTTAATTATGACTATTTTTTGTATGAGAGTGATTTTATTTTTGCATGCATTGTTTAGTTGTAAAGTACTTCTCTTTGTAGGGAGGACCATGTGGAGTTTTGGCTGCCATCCAGGCCTGTGTTCTACAAGAATTACTGTTTGGTGATTGTAAAATACCACTCAAAAGATTGTAAGTGTCAGATACCACTCAAAAGATTGTAAGTGTAAAATACCACTCAAAAGATTGTAAGTGTCAAATACCACTCAAAAGATTGTAAGTGTCAGATAACCTCAAAAGATTGTAAGTGTAAAATACCACTCAAAAGATTGTAAGTGTCAGATACCACTCAAAAGATTGTAAGTGTAAAAGATTGTAAGTGTAAAATACCACTCAAAAGATTGTAAGTGTCAGATACCACTCAAAAGATTGTAAGTGTCAAATACCACTCAAAAGATTGTAAGTGTCAGATATTATTCAAGTGAAATGTATGTGTAGAATACCACACTAAGATAGTTGCTGTAAAATAGTATATCACTTTTAAGATTGAAATTTAATATAAAGTACCACTTGAAACATTATTTCAATAAAAATAGAACTCAAAAAAGACTGTGAAGGCTCACAACGATGATTGTTAAGTACCAGACTATGAATATAAAATTTAATCCACTCGTAAGATTCTTACTGTAAAAGATAATTTGATGTAAAATAACGTACACAAAAAAGAATTATTCTGTTGGACATGTAAAATAATCATCCATTTCTTCTTCTAGTGGAGATCCAACACATGAAGAGAGAAGTCTAGCCCTAGCTACAGCTCTGTCCAAAATATTTTGGAGAGCAGGAGAGCAAAAGACAGCTGTTTTGGCCATGTAAGCTCATGAAGTTTGATTAGGCCTAAAATAAATATGTTTATTTCCTGTAGCTGACCCATTGAAATTACATTTGTGTGGAATTTTTTTTTTTTGGCAAATCTGAGATTAAATAATACCAACAATCAATCAGCTGATGCAATTTTTACCAATAATGTTAATTGTCAACTGAGTCAGCCATTCATTTATGAAAGCTAATACATAATTATTATCATGTCATCTAGTGATTTTTCCATGACTCTTTAGTTTGTTTGTGACATGTGCTGCTATACAGTTATGTTGGATGTCCCATGTATGAGATCCTACATTACCCAACAAAATTATACATGTATAAAATAAAAAATTCCCTACCAAGTACCAACCAATTCTCAATCTTTAGGGAATGTTGCAGGAAACAAACGTAAATTTTTTGCCTTAGTACTGTAATAACTCATATTGAGTTTTAGCTTTGAAATCTCAAACCTGAGATATCTGAAGGTTTTTTTGACAATCCTAGCTAGCTGCCATGTTTTGAGATATCTAGGCCACATAAGCTCATGAATTTTGGTAAGTACTGCATATGTTGAGTTTTTGCTTTGATGTCTCAAACACGAGATATCTTGAGATTTTTTGAGATTTTTTGTTATGACAGTCCCACTGTATTAGAGATACTGGAGTTTGACTTGATTTTATTCTGTATTTATTTCTGTTTTTTTCTTTATATGACTTAAATACATGAATTTTATGTTTTTTTAATTTCAGAGGCTCAGGGAAGGCTGTGTTCCAGGGTGGAGCTCCAAAGTATAGAGCTGATGATCTGACTGAGACTGTGAGTAAAACAATTCATAACAACTAATATAGATAGAACAGAATAAATTATTGTGAATTTGTGTTTTACATGATTTCTTCCTTCAGTGAATGAGTACTTGGTCTTCTTGTCCATTTTGAAGGCAGCATTTTCTGTGAAAGTCTACAGCTTTTTTTCTTCATGTTCTTTCCCTGAATTTTTGTTACATTTGCCAAACACATGTATACAAAGCTGCCTGTGTCTACTCTTTCATAAATCCAAAACAGTATGAATCTATGAGCTCTCTGGGCAAAATCTTTTGAACAAGTTCTTGTCCAGTGACCTGATTTACTCTTGTTGTTTGTGATATCATTTTGTTGATCTTGATACATCATACATATAGAAATCTTTGAAAACAAATGAAAAATTGTTCAATTCTCTCTTAGGAAACTGGTGGAATAGGTTTTCGACTAAAAATTAAATTTTTTTAGTGTGTTACATTCCTTTAGCTGATATTGTAGTATTATCTCCTTTCAGCTGATGTTGAACCATTTTAAATCATATGAGGATCTGCTGAGCTTCATGACACAAAATGTTCATTATTTCATGACAGACGGAAAAGGGGGTGTGATTCTGACCCTGTACTCCGCCATCTTCTCACGATACATTGACCAGTAAGTCAGTATGTCATGTATTTATGTGGTGTTGGTGGTGCATGGAAGAGTTGTTATATAGATATTGATGATGAGGGAACCAGCAAATAAGTATATATATGAAGAATATGTATTGGAATGGAAGGAGTACAGAAGAACAAAAAAGCAAATGATGGGATGAATGAGGGAGTTCTTGGTTATATTTGAATTTCTTCATTAAAAAGAGGGAGAATGGAATGGAATATACAAATATATGGAGTAAAGGAAAGGCTATAGGGGTACATGTATTAACTTCCCCATTCGTAATTACATGTACAATGTATTATTTATAATGCAATAGAAATGTAAAATGTATATCACATACCGGTACATATACCAAGATTAAAAATAAATTATAGCCTGCATTAAGCAAGGCCATACCCTAATAATACCTTTTTATTAAAAAAAAATGATATCTTAAAATTCCTAGATTACAATTTTTTATTTACTTGGATTCTTTTTGACAGAGTGAGGGAAGACATGGATGAACCAACAGGGAAACTGATGGGGGCCCATGGATATTGTACTCAGGTAATTTTCTTGTGAATAAAACTCACAAACAAATGCTAGAAACAGGAACTATTGTCCAGTTTATATGAATGTTAAAAGTTTTTGCATCCAGTGCATTTTGTAGTATGTAAAACTATTAGATTTGAAATGTAAGTACTATATATGAAAACTAGGGCATCTATATACTGGTACAATGTAGGGACCACCTCTAGGCAGCTGTGTTTTTTGTGAGTTCTTTATAATACAATTTTTTTTAACACAGGATATGGTTAATTTATATTTAACTGGGAAAGCCACATCTAATGTGTTCAATGACAAGATAGAGCTGGACTCCGGAACAGGAAGTGATGTCACAGTCCTTAAAGGGATCACAGGGAGGTCAAATATAGGACTACTGTCTCTGTTTGAACATTACAAATCTTGCCAGGTATAGTGTATAACAGAATTCCCTTGATTATTTGTCTTGAAGGCCACACAGAATAAACAGGGGTGTGCAATTACAAAAATTAGTTACTAGCCCGTTGGGCTAGTGGCAGTAACAAAGTTACTAGCCCGAGGTTGCCAGTCACTAGCCTATTAACTACCGAAAACAATACATGTATAAGTATAACAAAAAGGTTAAAAAAACATTTAAGTTGAAATAAATAAAACAAATAATGGTTTGCGCTTTGTTATTGTCAGATACTTCTCCCTATTTTGATCAACTATAATTGTCACTGAAACGACTGGCGATAGCAACACACAATACATACAGGTTAAAACGAATTAAAGATTATGATTTTACAACAAAGTTAATTCATACATTAATTCAGTCGACGTAAATATACGTATACTTTCGTTTTAGATTTACTAACCTGAAGGGCTATCGCAGTATAGATTTATGATAGCCTGACCTCTAAAATTGGTAGCCCCGGGTGTCAGGAGATGGTAATTGCACACCCCTGATAAATGCAAATAGAACAGCATTTTTTCTGTTAGTAGAGTTTCCACCTTCAGGGGTGAAAAGATAAAATTTATTTAAATTTGGAATCAGTTACATGTGAAAAGTCTTAAGTGCTAATGAAGATATTTTTTCAAATTATAAAATTAATATACTTGTATTATACATTCTTATAGTTCATTATTTTAAGTGCAACATATTTCAGCACCTAGAAGAGTTCTGAAAATTTTTTATTAACAGAAATTTCAAATTGTCTTTGAGCTGTTCACATAAATTTATATTTAATATTTAGGTTGGCACATACCTCAAAACTCCAAAATACCCGATCTGGGTTGTGTGCAGCGAGAGCCACTTCAGTGTTCTTTTCTCCATTAAGAAGGAACTGGTCAGTGATTGGAAGGCGGAGAGACGGTTTGACCTATATTACTATGACGGTCTGGCCAGACAACAGGAGGAAATCAAACTAACCATAGGTAAATTTGATAACCTTGTTGACTGTACTAAAATTGGTGGTGGGGGGGGGGGGGGAGGGGAGTAAAAATAACCCTTTCCATTGACAAAATTTTTCTTTGTATATTGATAGAGACGAACAAAAATTCTTCAATAGAAAGAGTTATTCCCCTTTTCATTTTTTTAAATCAAAATTGAAAACTGTATGAAAATAACAAATAAGGGAACAAAATTTTGTATAAATTACGTACTACAACTTCCAAAAAAAATTTTTTTTTTGGTCATGAAACAGAAGTGAAATGAAACAGAGCGATAAACTTTCTTGATTTTCTCATCTTGGCAACCTCTTTAAAAGTTGGTTTGCAGGCATAGGAGAGCTGATTAAGAGTTTACATTTATTGATAAAATGGTTTTAAGTTTTAATCTGTTTGTACAGATACAGTTGACATGGGATACCAGACTGAAAAATCAGAGGATGACCTTGTCCCGCCATTGGAACTCTGTATACGGACAAAGTAAGTCTTTATTTAATATTTCTATAATGACACATGCAGATATCTGTTCAATAATTTATTAATTTAGCTACATTCAGATTGACCGATTCCAGCAATTGGTAGATTTTATGTGAATAATGATTTTTGATCGGTTGTTTTGCTTTATCTATTTTAATGTTCTGTTGTTTGCTTACTTAGGTGGTCTGGGGCAAATGTTGATTGGAACGGAAGTGAACCACTTTTATAACAGTACTTCTGAATGGTTAGTCTACCAGCAAATTTATGCCAGATTAAACTTGCATTACCGGGAAACCAAGAAACCAAACCATTAACACTGTGAATTAAGGATATTAGCTCAGAGCTCAGAAGAAGTGAATCTGGTGGAAAGATTTGTTGATGTAACAGGAAGTCATTTAGGTTAACCTTAGAAAGGATTAAAGCATATCACACTGTTTCAATCTGTTCTTATCAGGCAGATGAATTTGCAAATATTTCATCCTTTGGATAAAAGAGGGACTGATATGATGTTACTTGTAGGTGTAAACATTAGAATTTCTTGCTATATATGTAAACAAAATGCTAGAAAATTTTGAAAGATCTCATTTTTGTGAACTTTGATTAAAAATATTAAAATTTATTTAAATTCTGCTGATTATTATATTTATTTATATTTAGAATGTTTCTTTTGTAAGGAAACATATTTTGTGCCAAGTTTAGATGTTTATGTATATGTTTAGAATGTGATATTGTAGTTAAAATCTAGGGTTGGGTTATATTGTACATTTTGTCACTATTGATGCTGCAGCTGAATATGTACTATTAATGTCATTTTGTCTACAAAATGCTAGTAACATGTTATCCTCTTCCGTCCTTTTTATGACATAGTTAACTATAATACCATAATTATATATCTACAGTTGAACTTCGTCATCTTGAACACTGACACATGTTTCTTAATACCAGGAATATGTTGTGTGTTACATGCATTTCTAGTGATGAAATTCCATGCACTGATCTTATGATGTATTTTCTTCAAGGAAAGCATTCAAATTTCTCATTTGCATTTCTTTATTACTTTTAGATCAATTCATTCTGCAAATACCAAAGACATATAGCAATTCTATGTGTGTTAATTTTACCTGCAAAATTCCACAATAGATTACTAGATAACTACCTGCAAAAAATAAACTGTTAACCAAATTGTATATTTATCTTCATTTTGATTTTTTTAAACATAAGAATTATTCTAAAAGAAGCAATCAAATAAACTGAGAAAATAGATGTGCCTATAATTACTGTATATTATTATTAAGTCCTGGGTGTGTACATGTATGATGTAAATAAAACTTTCAGAATACAAAATAAAGTACATTATTTTACGTACTGCAGGATGAACATACATATGTACTATACTGTGTTCAAACAAATGGTTGTTTTGGGAAAGCACTTTATTTGCTTACTATAGTAATGAAATAATATTTAATGGACATAATAAACTTCTGTTGCCTTTCTAAAGTTTTTTATCTGTTTTTATTTATCAGTTTTTGCTTATGATTACCTGTATTAACCATATACCACTGACAGGTACATGCATCATAGGATATAAGCCTGCTTTGTTACCAAACAAATATTATATATATTTATTACATGCTTAGTATTAAATACAGGTTTTTATGCCCCAGTATCGAAGATTCGGGGGTATATAGTTTTTGCCCTGTCCGTTCATCTGTCTGTCTGTCTATTTGTCTGTTTGTCAGCAAAAACTTTAACATTGCCCATAACTTTTGAATAGGTAGAGCTATGGCTTTCATATTTCACATGTGTATTCCTTGTGACAGGACCTTTCTTTGGGTACCACCATATTTGACCTTGACCTTGGAGTTTGACCCAGTTGTGCAAAATTTTTCCCAACTTTTACCTTGGCCATAACTTTTGAACCGTTGGTGCTAGGGCTTTCATACTTCACATGTGTAATCCTTGTGACATGACCTTCCTTTAGATACCAACAACTTTGACCTTTTGACCTTGACCTTGGAGTTTGACCTACTTTAGAAAAACTTTAACATTGGCCATAACTTTTGAACAGTTGGTGCTAAGGCTTTCATACTTAGCATATGTAATTCTTGTGACAAGACCTCCTTTTGGATACCAACAATTTTAACCCTTTGACCTTGACCTTGAAGTTTGACCTACTTTTGAAAAACTTTATCCTTGGCCATAACTTTTGAATGGCTGGTGCTAAGGCTTTCATACTAAACATATGTAATACTTGTGACAAGACCTTCCTTTGGATACCAACAACTTTGACCCTTTGACCTTGACCTTGGATTTTGACTTGCATTTGAAAAACTTCAACCTTAGCCATAATTTTTGAACAGTTGGTGCTAGGGCTTTCATACTTAACATATATAATCCTTGTGACAAGACCTTCCTTTGGATACCAACAACTTTGACCTTGGACTTTGACCTACTTTTGGAAAACATTAACCCTGTACACAACTTTTGAAAAGTTGTTGCTAGGGCTTTCATATTTAACATGTTTTTTCCTTGTGACAAGACTTTCCTTTGGATACCTACAATTGAAATCCATTGACCTTGACCTTGGAGTTTGACCTACTTTTGAAAAACTTTAAACTTGGTCATAACTTTTGAATGATTGATGCTTCAGCTTTCATATTTCACCTGTATATTTCTTGTGAGAAGTCCTTTCCTTAGGCACCATTAATTTTGAACATTTGACCTTGACTCTAATGTTTGACTTACTTTTGAAAAACTTTAACCTTTTCCATATCTATTCAATGGTTGCTGCTAGGGCTTTCATATTTCACAGGTATATTCCTTGAGACAAGACCTTACTTTGGGTACCAACGTATTTGATTTGCATTTGAGAAAGTTTAACCTTTGCTATAAGTTGCCATACGGGGGCATCAGTGTTTCACAAACACATCACAAATGATAGCGAAGGTTAAACTTTCTCAAATGCAAATCAAATATGTTGGTACCCAAAGTAAGGTCTTGCACCAAGGAATATATCTGTGAAATATGAAAGCCCCAGCAGCATCCATTGAAAAGATATGGAAAAAGTTAAAGTTTTTCAAAAGTAAGTCAAACATCAAGGTCAAGGTCAAAATTGATGGCCTTCTCACAAGAAATACACAAGTGAAGAATGAAAGCCCTATCAACAATTGTTCATAAGTTATGGCCAAGGTAAAAGTTTTCCAAAAGTAGGTCAAACTCCAAGGTCAAGGTAAAAGGGTCAAAGTTGTTGGTATCCAAAGGAAAGTCTTGTCACAAGGATTGCATATGTGAAGTATGAAAGCCCTAGAACCAACTGTTCAAAAGAAATGACCAATGTTAAAGTTTTTCTAAAGTAGGTCAAACTCCAAGGTAAAAAGGGTCAAAGTTGTTGGTATCGAAAGGAAGGTCTTGTCGTCACAAGGATTACACATGTGATGTATGAAAGCCCTAGCACCAACCGTTCAAACGTTATGGCCAAGGTTAAAGTTGGAAAAAATTGTAAAACTGGGTCAAACTCCAAGGTCAATGTCAAAAGGTCAAATACGATGGTATCCAAAGAAAGGTCTTGTCACAAGGAATACACATGTGAAATATGAAAGCCATAGCTCCAACCAATCAAAAGTTATGAGCAATGTTAAAGGTTTTGCGGACAGACAGAAAGCTAGACAGACAGACGGACGGACAGGGCAAAAACTATATACTCCTATAAATATATATCGATACCGGGGCATAAAAACAGCACTTGTGATAATACACCAATTTTTTTGTGTACATTCTTTTAATTTTGAATTACTGTTCTTTGATATTATATAATATTAAGCTATACATGTCAGTAGTCAATGCATGATTATTTATCTGTATTTTTCTCATGTTGATGTGTGCTGTATTTTACAAAGTATGTAATAAATATAATAAAACATACCCTTTTCCACATCACATCCTGTATCAGCCCTCAACCAAAATTAGCCATCGGGCCTTCGGCCCTCTGGCTGATATTGGTGTCTCGGGCTGATAAGGATGCGATATGGAACGGGTATGTATTCTCTCTCTCTCTCTCTCTCTCTCTCTCTATATATATATATATATATATATATATACTGTACTGTACTTTCGGAACAGAACGAACTTAGATTTCTAACTGGCATCTATAGAACTGCAGATAACATTTATTTGATATTTACAACTAATGTTCATGTCATGAAATGGTTTATTTTAAGATCTTTACTTGAAAATATTTAACATGGTTAAATATATATAAAACCACCGTGACGTATGTACAGTGTATATTGGTGACCATGGTACCTAATGTGATCGATTTAAATTACAAATCATGTAATTAAGACCATTACTTTTTCGATATAACAAAATGAATTGGAGAAAAAAAATATTCTCTCAAGAATTTAACTTCCGTAACTGTAATCCTTTAAGGTGTAAAATGTTTTATTACATGTAATTTGGAAACAAAATACTTTTACATTGGAATTAATATATTATATCTTGAAACAAACGTTTGTTGATATTTATTTCTCAAAATTAATTAATGAATTACTGAGGGACATGTCGAAATTGTATAATATTACCGATACCAGATTTGAGGATATTTTTTGTCCAAGTGCACTGTTATATGTCCTTTAAAGCATTTTATTTGTTTTCGATATAAAAATTGACTGTTTGAAACAACTATTTTTTTCATGCTGTATACTCTGAATTGGCCCATTTTCGTGGAATGACTGCACACTATATGACCTTTAGAAAAGATTTTCAAAGACGAAATTTTCTTTAAATTTATATGATAAAAAAAACTCCAATCCTATCCCTGGTTAGGAAAGCGAGCCTGTTGCAATAAAATGAGGATTTTTTGTAAAAAGGATTTGCAATCATTATAGTTAGCAAACAGATTGCTTGCTATATTTCCAATAGTTAAGAAGATTTTAAATGGTGTTATGCATTTTCAATACTTATTCAACTTAGAACCTAGACCCAAGAGACGTGAATTTCCTAACTTTGGTAGAAGGCTAAAGGTTTATTTTAATCATGAATATATTTGCCTGGCTGCTAATCATCCGTAATTAAAGATTTTTAAAGACGTAATGTTTTTTCAATACATGTCCAACTAAGTCTATCATAGGGCCTGAATCATTGTCCATGGGGTCATGAAATTTCACAATTTAGTTAGGTTGAATATTTTTTTTTTCTAAAATCATGCAAACAGTTTGTCTGGTAGATGTCTATGAGAAAAGAATATCATTTTATAAGATATGATGCATTTTCAATTATAACTACTTTCAGCCCACCATGGAGCCAGAGCTATAATTTCAGGGGCCATGTATTTCAAAAGTTTGGTAAATTTGGTTTAGCAATTTCAGAGAAGAATCTGAAAATGTTGCAAAGTTTACGAAAGATGGACGATCGAAGGACAAAGGTCGAAGAAGGACGACGACCAAAAATAGATAGCAATTGGCAAATGTGACTCAGGTGACAAAATAATTATGGTACATGTAATTGTTTGGGGGTAATCAGTCAAGGAAGTTTTTATATAAGTGAACAATTAAACAGAAATGACCGACAGTAATTTTGATTCTATTTCAGTAACACTTTGAATGACAAACATGCACCTTTTTCAATGGCGGATGTCTGTGGGAAACTTCCTTATGAAAATAGCGTAGAATTTATTTTTCTAAAGCAGCGACGGTTTCACTTTATTTGAAATGATTTTTGTAGTTTTTGGATTTTTAGGAGGAATAATAATTTCCTCTGCTTACGGTATGGTTTTCGCATATTATAACATGTTTAAGGTGAACAGTTTAAATATTTAGTTGCTCAGTTAAAATCCAATCTTTCAG